TCACTGTTGTGGCCTCTCCCGTTGCGGAGCACAGGCTCCGGATGCGCAGGCTCAGCGGCCATGGCTCACGGGCCCAGCCGCTCCGCGGCATGTGGGATCTTCCCAGACCGGGGCACGAACCCGTGTCCCCTGCATCGGCAGGCGGACTCTCAACCACTGCGCCAGCAGGGAAGCCCGGATATAACTTTTGAAACAATCTCTCTAAAATGGTTACTGCTAAGCTTTTCAAAGTAAGAATACTCACTATGTTAGACTTAAAGTTTTGCTACTGTACCCTGATCTCCTCTGTCCCCAGGCTCATGGTGTCATCATAAACATGGCCCATGCCATAGTCCTAGATTGGAGTTCATCAGAGAGAGAGAACTCATTATTTTAAAAATAATGAACCTTCTTGCTAAAGATCAAAATGCATGCCATGTTTCATTAAATATCTTGGCATTTGACAGAAGGAGACTATGGGTGATATATTACTGTGACTGGATTAAGAACTCTATGCTTTTGCCATCTCAACATCATATCTAAACCTTTTTTATAGGACAGAAACAATAGTGATGTATTTCCTATCTGAACATTATGGTCTTTAAACCTAACACCCACAAGTCAATTTTACTATTTATATAACGACTACTTGCAAATACTGATTCCATCTATAGGTACAAAAGGAAGCACACAAACTTCTCTCTGCAGCCCCACCCCCAAAATCCATGATCTCTGTAAACACCTGAAAAGATGGAGCTGTTATCAGATAGCTCTTCTTATGCTGACTACTCTACATGGTTTTGTACAAGTATAACTGATATATTTGATTATTCTAGGTTTGAGATTGTAAAGAAATTATTACAGAATTAATTAAAGAATGTTAAAGAATGCAAGGCTGCCTACTGTGGTACACATAAAAACTAAATGAAAACTTGACATTAACATCTCAGTGCAGAAGAACAGTTTCAGGTACCTGGTTTCAAATCAAAAGATTAATACACTTCCAAATACCCTGAAATATTTAAACAGAAATTACTTAATGTCTTCACTAGTAGAAAACGGTTAACTACAACTTTGACAACATTAAAAAAATTACAGTTTTCATTTATTGAATCAGAATAGACCTGCATACAGCTCCCCCTACCAACTTCTCTTTTAAATTCTTTTCTTCTAATAAATGCTGGAGAGGGTGTGGAGAAAAGGAAACCCTCCTACACTGTTGGTGGGAATGTAAATTGGTACAGCCACTATGGACGTTCCTTAAAAAATTAAAAATAGAGCTAACATATGATCCAGCAATCCCACTCCTGGGCATATATCCAGAGAAAACCATAATTTGAAAAGATACATGCACTGTAATGTTCACTGCAGCACTATTTACAATAGCCAGGACATGGAAGCAACCTAAATATCCATCGACAGAAGTATGGATAAAGAAGATGTGGTACATATATAAGATGGAATATTACTCAGTCATAAAAAAGAATGAAATAATGCCATTTGCAGCAACATGGATGGATCTAGAGATTGTCATACTGAGTGAAGTCAAAGACAAAGACAAATATCATATGATATTGCTTATATGTGGGATCTAAAAAAATGGTACAAATGAACTTATTCATAAAACAGAAACAGAGTCACAGATGTAGAAAACAAACTTATGGTCACCGGGGTGGGGGGTAAAGGAGTGGGAGGGATACACTGGAAGATTGGGACTGACAGATATACACTACTATATATAAAAGAGATAACTAATAAGGACCTACTGTATAGCACAGGGAACTCTACTCAATATTTTGTAAAGACCTATACGGGAAAAGAGTCTAAAAAAGAGTGGATATATGTATATGCATAACTGATTCACTTTGCTGTACAGCAGAAACTAACACAACATTTTAAATCAACTTTACTCCAATAAAATTATTTAAAAAAAAGGACAAGCAAAAAAAATTTTTTTTAAACTTCTTTTCTTCTGCTAACTTACCAGAGTGGCATTACTCTAGTAGTTATATCATTTACGATGTTCTCTTTACCTACTTGCTAAATTGGGTTGGAACCAAATATGGGTGAAGACTTGTCTTCCCCTTCAGTGTATCTGAGATGTGCAAAACCTGAGACCCAGAGGCAGAAGGTAAGCAGAACTATGGTTTGAGGAAGTACTCTGTGGGTTGGACCTTGTCTTCCTGTAGGATCTGCTTTTGTTTGGCCTCCTGGGTTGGTGATAATATTATTTATTTGATGATGTATAAAAGTTTGTACTTTAAAAGCATATACATCAAACAGATTAATATATTCTTCTACATCCACAAGGAAAAATGTAAAATAATAAAAATGGAAATGAAGTGCTAATCAGAAAGGTAACCCTAAGTTTAATGCTGCTTCTGAAGGTAAGATCCTCTGAACCAGAGACTCCAAAATGTGGATATTTTTCAAACTTCAAAATTTAATATTATATGTTAGATTCATAACAGATACTTACTTCCCATTTTCAAACTGTATTCAACATTACTTTCCTGATGACTAAAACATGTAACTTTCTCATATAAGATAACACAGGCAAAAGGCAAGACAAATGCATGCATAAAATATATATAATATTGCTGTGGCTTGAAAATTTTAAACTTACTGTTCATGGAAATCCAGCATTGGTGGCTCAAATCGTATAGGTCTGCAATTACCCCGGTACAGAGATATACTGTAAGTAAAAGGAAAACAGCCTAAGAAGCAATTCTTCAACATATGTGTTTCCCCAAACCAAAGTCAGACGCTTGAGTTTTGTCATGATAAAGTTTCTTTAAGCAAAGTGGAGTCTTATATTAGAAATATGCGTTACTTTTTTATTAGAGGAAATCAACAAACATTTGTTTTAAAAAATGGGGGGAAAAAAGGAGTGTTTTTCCTATTCAAAGGTATGCAAAAACAGAAACTGCTCAAATAGACTGCTGAAATTTATTTGGTTGATATAATTGATAACAATATACCTTAATATGTTCATTTGGATTTTTTTTTTTTTTTGCCACACCACGTGGCTTAATGGATCTCATTTCCTCAACCAGGGATTTAACCTGGGGCACCACAGTGAAAGCACCAAGTCCTAACCACTGGACTGCCACGGAACTGTCTCATTTGGATTTTTAATACATGTACAATGAACAATAAATAATTACTTGTACTTGGAAGGCAATTTATAGAGACAAAAACTCATGATCCCATTGTAACCAGAGTGTCAAAGAACTAAACAAAAGTCAGTAGGGGGACAGAAATTTCCAAGAACTGAAATATCTTTTTAATCTGAGAGTTTGGAACATACTGATCTATGATGTCTTGGCCTAAATATTTGAGTATCACTTCTAACTATTTCCCTTGAGACTAGAACTTCTCACTAAAACAGATTCCTGAATAAGCAAACCTCCTAGACATCACCACGACCTAACATTGATGCAAAGTATAAATAACCTTGGAGAGGAGGTCCACATACCTAAAATCATCTGTTTACATACTGAGAGGGGGAGAAAGTCATTCAGACACTAAAGTTTCTAAACAGTAGATTATCTTTCTGTTGTATTTTAAGAAATGATGTAAGAGCAAAACCCATTTTGTGAGACTACTTTATTTCCATCACCTCTGCAATTCAAAAGAGCACAAGCTTCACATGATATAGTAATTTCATTCAGGAAATACAATAGAAATAGACAAGGAAATACAGAAAATGTGGAAGACCTAGATTTAACTCAATTCAATAAAGATTAAATAGTCTGAGCAGTGGAATAATTGAGCTTAAAAAAATAAGGTTTAAAAGTGTTTTTAGGGCTTCCCTGGTGGCACAGTGGTTGAGAGTCTGCCTGCCAATGCAGGGGACACGGGTTTGAGCCCTGGTCTGGGAAGATCCCACATGCCGCGGAGTGACTGGGCCCGTGAGCCACAACTACTGAGCCTGCACGTCTGGAGCCTGTGCTCCGCAACAAGAGAGGCCGCGATAGTGAGAGGCCCGCGCACCGCAATGAAGAGTGGCCCCTGCTCGCCACAACTAGAGAAGCCCTCGCACAGAATTGAAGACCCAACACAGCCAAAAATTAATTAATTAAAAAAAAAAAAGAAAATCTAATTTTTTTAAAAAAAGTGTTTTTAGCCTTACCGATTAAGAGTATTACTCTGTGCTGCTTGACAATCCTTCTACATATGTTGAACATTAAAGATGACAAACACGAGAAGGAAAAGACCAAATGTAAGACTATACTTTACTAAAGCACAAAACTAAAGACACTGGGACAATGAAGGCACAATTCCTCACAAGGCAGCTGCCACATGTAGCCAGAGGTACAGAATCTACTCCCTCTTGATCTCTGCCCTTCTTAGACATACTATAACGAGGATACTCTTCAGCTCCTTTAAAACAATAGATACTGATGAGTTCATCAGTTTTAACAGTGTGAAACTCAAACTTACATAAAATCTCCATCCAATCAAGAAAAAAAAAGTGTAATGCATAAAGTAAATGTGTCTAAGTCAGTAATTCACACATATATAAACAATGACTGTGTTAGATGCTAGAGATACAAAGGAGATTAAGATACAGTTTTTTTTCTCTCACAGAACTGAGAGCCTAATCCCCAAATTTCAAGTGCAAATGTTTAAAGTGGCCAGGCAAGGGAAAAAAGTGCAGTGCACACCCCATTCACTCAACACAAATATACTGAATGTCAGGGGCTGTCTAGTGGCTGGGCCCATGAGAACAAAGAGCCTGTTCTCATGGCACTAACATGCCAATGGGGAAAACAAAAGTAGAACACATCATGTGATGACGTCCAACATATAAAGACAAATCAAACACAGCAGGAACATAGAAGGTCTCTCTGAGCAGGAATGTCCTTGGCATGATGAGGAACCAGGAGGCTGAAGTGGCCAGAGTGCAGGAAGGAGGGGGAGAAGACCGGAGCTGAGATCAGAGCGGTACAGAGGCCAGGTTTCCTTGCAGAAGTCTGGATTTTATCCTAAGTGTAACAATAAGCGTCTACAGTGTTTTGAGCAAGGAAGTAACATGATCTAACACATTTAAAAGGTCAAATCTGGCTGCTGTATGAAGAAGAGACTGCATGAGCCCAAGAGTGAAGCAGGAAGGCCCTGCAGTTGCCCAGAGAGAAGGGGACAGCCACTGTGGCCCAGGAGGACTGCAAGGGAGGGTGGTGAGAAGTGGCTCTTTTCTGAATATTTTTGGAAGCTTAGAGACATCACGCTGATGGATTGATTTTGGAGTGTACGAGAAAGAAGAGAGGCATCAAGATGACTTAACTCCAAGATTTTGGCCCGAGAAACTAGATACGTAGTCATGACATGGAAGAGTGGGTTGGAAGTGGGGAAGGGTAGTTGGGTAGGGATTCAAGAGTATTGTTTTAGACATTTAAACTTGAGATGTCTTATCTAGATGGAGATGTCAAGTAGGCAGACAGATATACATGGTTATTGCTTTATATTAAAAAGTTACTGATTTGGGGGTACTGACCTTTTAAACCCAGGCATTTTGGTGAGTTAATTCTAACAGTCTGTCTATAGATTCTCTTAGATTTTCCCCTGCCATTATATGTGTTGCTAAACTGATCACTATCTTGGATTGTCTCTGTAGACAGATCACCTGCAAGTAACAACAATTCTGTTTCTTCCTTTTAAATCCTTAGACCTTGTTTTCCTTTTTCATGCCTTATGTGGGCTAAGACCTCCCATAAAATGTTCCAAAGAAGTGGGTGTCCAGCAACTGTTATCGTGACATTTACAGGATGCTCACAGAATATGAGATAGAGGGGACAATACATAACAGATAATTCCCTCATAAATAAATGCATATTTTCAAAACAACAGCAGATCTATATCTAAGGACCAATTTAATATTTGAGTGGGTACAACACAAATTGTCATAGGTATAATCTTATTTTAACAAAACCAAAAATTCAGTAACATAGCTATCACATACCTACAGCTGATTGAAATGGCTGCTGTTTATTTAGAATGGCCATGACACTCTTTAGCGCTTTATTAACAGAAAGCAAATGTCTACAAGTCCATAATGTTGAAAAATAAACTGGGGAAGAAGCAGTAAGAAAAATGGTGCCCTTTGTCAATTTCAAAGAAACAGAATCTTAGACATTATAAAAGTAATAACATGATTTTATGCTTTCGGCAGTGATTGTATTTTTTCTGAAACTTTCAATACAATATTTTATTTTCACTAAAACATTAACTGTCTATTTGGGGAGAAGGAGATGAATAAGGGCTATTCTGACTTCAAGCGAGGGAACAACTGGAGAGATACATGAAATCTGTGTTGCCTGGTGAACGTTACGTCGAAATGAAGCACACACGACCTTCCCAGAGGAAGCATACAAGACATTCTTGGAGCTTTGGGAATTTGTTTAAACTGTGAGATTTAAAATATTTTCCTAGGGGCAATTACTACCTAATCAAAAGGTTCTCTTCGGCCCAATATTTCATAACGAATGATTTGTGGTCTACCTAAATTTAATCATCTAGGATGCTTGTAGAAACGCAGATTCCAGGGCCCCGCGCCTCTCGATTCTGATTCCTTACATCTATCTAGTATGGAGCCCAGAAACCGGCACTATTATGTACACTCTCACAGTTGGGAACTACTCTTTTGTAGCTTGATCCACAATAAGCGTTGCAAGCAGAAATAAGAGGGGGATAAAAGCACTTTAACAAGGAAAACTTTTTAAAAAGTCACCAACAGTTTAAAATGGTCCCCAGTATGAGTTTTCTTAGAGACAGCTATACAGTGACTTAAGAGAAAAGATACAGATTACCCCTACATCAATATTTTTCAATAAATACATTTTAGCTTAAATTTTCATTTCCCTAAGGACTAATGATGTTGACCATCTTTTCACTTGTTTACTGCCCAATCAGATATCTTCTTTTGCAAAGTGTCTGTTCAAAGTATTTTTACTGGGATGTCTGTCTTAATTTTGAGTTTAAGAGTTCTTTATAGATTCTAGATACATGTCCTTTGTCAAATGTATGTACTATGAATACTTTCTCCCTGTCCCTCCTTTTCCTATTATCAGTGATGTCTTTTGGGGAGTGACATCATCAAGATGGTGACATAGGTCATTCTTGACTTCAGTCCCCCTCACAAGAAGACCAGCCAACAACTACCCATAGATGAGGCACCACTGTGAAAATCCCGAAGCACAGGGGTGAGGCTCAAGAACATCCTTGGACCACAGAGAGCAGGAAACAAGAAGAAGAAGGAAAAAAACTGTATGAGGAATAAGGTAAGAGAAACGGCTGTACGCTGGCCATGTCACCTCTCTACCAGGCCGGTACAGTGCTGCACTGAGAGGGCCCCCTAGCACCTACGGTTTCTCAGGTGGGAAAGAGAGAGCCCACGGTGGACTTCTAGCTCCCCCAGTGTTGCGGGCAGATAAATGGACATCTAGAGTTATGAGGCCCAAAGCACCCCACAGAGGTTGAACTGGAAAAGGCCTACAATGAGATACATTATGATTAAACTGTCAAAAGTCAAAGACAAAGAGAGAGTTCTGAAAGCAGCAAAAGTGACACATCACATACAAGGAACACCCCACTCCCCACCCCATAAGACTACATTAGTCCCCCCTCATCTGTGGTTTCACTTTCTGTAGTTTCAGTTACATGCAGTCAACCATGGTCTGAAAATATTAAATG